AAACCATTCTGGGTTTCCCCCCTCTGCGTTATTGTTTTCTTCTCATACACAAAATTCAGTTTTATATTCACACTAAACTTTACCACGTATATGATTCCTCCAATTCAGTGACTCTTACAGTTGTTTTGGAATATCGAGGATCGATGATGATACCATCAATGGGGGCAATTGGGATCGAATTCAACTAGTTTTCATTGGTGGAATCACACTGGTTTGCCTTTTCTGTGCGGCTTATGGGTTACGACATCGTTCAGTAAGTTTATATTCCTCATGGAGTCTTACACAGTTGGTTGTTCCGCCGTTTTATTTACGATTCAGGTCTGTGGTTATTACCATTTTGTTTGATTTTTTCCCAATAAACACATCACTACTCACAATAGCGGTTTATTTGAAATTCCCTACAAGAAGTTCTCCGGTTTTGCTCTGTCTAAGACACCAGTTAAGATTTCAATGTCTCTTCTCCGTTTGTGATGTTGTCAACCATCCATTCAGTTCCCTTCAAACACGGGTCATTAGGGATTATTCAAATAGGTACACTGGACATTAAATCCGTTTTCTGAAACAATCACCTCTGTAGCCTTACTGGGGCGTTCGAGTTAAAAAATCTTCGATGTTCAACTGCCAGCAGCACACGCTGACCTCCTCTTTGAAACAGGCTGATAGATTGAATAAACTACCATCAGTTGCACTCGTTCTTCGGTAAGTAATTGAACACTCACGCCACGTGTGAGCAACACAACAGCATGTTGTCCGAGTAACATTCATTCAGGGAGGGGTTTGACTGTTTAATCAATACAACTTGTTCGGTTACTTGATTACCCCTTTTTCGAAGTGTCACGTTTCGGATAGGGTTGATCTCAGTCTTGTCCTTGTAGTTTAATACTTAAAGATGCAAAACACATTCACAGCTACCTACATATTTACTCAAAATATGGGTGGTGGTGGCGCAGTGGTTTAGTCGTTGTCACCTCGTGCTTTGGACCCTATGGTCCGAGGTTTGAGCCCCGCCACCACCACCCGACTTTGGTGGTAGGCAGCTCTTCTGCCGTCCGGTTCAATACCACACCTAACTTATCGGAGCCTTATGTGGTTCGCCACTCCAAGTCCCGTGGCTTAGGTTTCCGGTTTGCACCACTGAACAGCAGGTCCTCGTGACTATGGGGTTCGCACCCTCTGCTGCGCATTACACTTAGGTGTGTAATAAAAACATAAAATAAATAAGGATATCAAGATAGAGAAAAATAAACAATACAGAAAAGTGAACAGTAACAGTTTCGGGAATGTAGGTTCGATTACGGATTTATGGGATGTGAACGAAATAGGTGTAGTTAGCGCATCCAAAATGAGTCGGTTTGGATTCCCTCCGCTAGTGATAACATGATTCCTCTATAGATAAACCCTTAGAGTAAAATCCCAGCAGCTTTTTAACATTTAGTCGGAGCTTCACCTTATCCATTTCAGGTGTAATTGCTCTTTTCCTCTATTCGCATGATAGCGGACTGATCAACGCCAGGCACTTCCATTGCAAAAGTTTCGTTATAAAATGTCTATCTCTATCATGATTTAGCTTACAGCGTGTACTTACTTGTATAAACTTTATTGGTCCACATTTGTGTTTGCGCCTGCGCGCGCACATCATTAAGTCACGTGATCTGTTCAACAAACTCGGCCCGAAACCCATCAATATCTCCACGTGTTACAAGCACCACGACTACATCCGTGTTACCTTTCTTATCATGATTCATGTATTATTTTTATTCATATAATAAATTAATCCCTCCGTGAGCATCACAACAGTTAAAACTCATTTCCTTTCAGAGTATTTTGGTTGTATGTTGTTTTTGAACTGCTTTTCCATTGTTTTATCTTAAATAAATGGGGTCAAAAATACTCTCGAAGAATAAAAATAATTTAATAGGTGGAGGAAGTGTAGCCTTTTTGCAAATTGTGTTACTACGAGAGCACCACACACTGCACCCGGTGGTGAAAATTCTTTCCCATAAACAAATATGTAGTTCGTAACTCATCTCTTAGTTCAGAATTGATGTGTTTTGCGCCTTGCACAATTGGAGAGTACTGATTGGTGTGTTCGAGCAGACGTGTGAGCTCGCGATTGGTCTTTTCCGGCCTGTCACTGTCTATTTGCGAAGTTCCAAATTTGTATGTAGCCACCTTAAGTCACGTTACATCCTGGTCATTCCCCTCTCCTTCTTGGATTTTCTTCGCTGTTCTATTTTATGCTGTAATTAGGAGCGGAAAACTACTCATGAGTTTAATCGCATTATTATTTTTTCATTTTTACTTTTACATAATATGTACAGATAAGATTTTCAGGAAGGAAGAAGCGGCCAATCAAAGGTATTTGCAGTTCTTTTACCCTCCCTACAAAAAAATCAAACTAGTATGTTTTGTACTTTCGTAGACCCACCATTTATATTTTCCTCGATCTAAAAGCGGCTTTCAACTCAGTCGACCGCTCTAAACTCTGGCGCTGCCTTTCCCTGAAGGGAGTGCCCGAGAAGTTTATTTCAATATTACAATCCCTCTACAATAATAGCCGCAGCCGAGTTCGAGCTTACGGCACTTTTTCACCCGAGTTCACCACGGAAAGTGGTGTTCGACAGGGTTGCCCTCTCTCTCCTTTTCTATTTAACTTTGTCATAGATTTAATTCTTGAAACAGCCCTATCCTCGTGCAGGGATAGCGGTATTGATTTACTTCCGGGTGGCAGACTGTCTGATCTAGAGTATGCAGACGATATTGCGCTATTAAATGAAGATGCAGGTAAGTTGCAAGCTTTTCTGGATAGTTTGAGTGCTAGTGTAGCGATGTTTCGTATGCGTTTTGCACTTTTAAAGTGTAAAATGCTACTACAAGACTGGGTTAATCCAGGGCCCAGTCTCACTCTAACTGGGGGAGTAGTAGAGGAAGTAGACAAATTTTGCTATCTCGGCAGCTATATCTCACCCGGCGGACGCATCACAGATGAAGTGTCGGCGCGCATATAAAAAGCTCGATTGGCATTTGCCAGCTTGAGACATTTGTGGCACCGTCGCGACATCCGGCTGTCTGTGAAGGGTCGAGTGTATGC